GTTAGTGGAGGCGCACTAGATTGTCTTAATTTTGTTGTTCGACCGCTCCGTTATTGTAATCACCCTTTGTGGTTAGTTTGTTTTGGCCTCTTGTGGCTAATGGTTTTTTTGGCTGAATTATGAATGCAATCCTAGAATTTCTCCAAAAAAAAAAAAACCTATCCTCTTTTTTTTTTAATAAATAAATAAATGTGGTCACCTTTTTAAATGTTTTCAAGTGTTGTTTAAAAAAATTATAAAAAATTATTGGTCATGGAATATTGTCTCTAAATAGTAGTTGAATTAAATTAAACAATACATAGTTGTGAAATGTATGAGTGTTGTGCCATAGTTTTTCTCAAAATAATAAAATATGAAGGACCCTAAAATGCAGCCTTGCATAACTGGATATGGAAAAATTTAGCATTGCACTATTCTTTAAAAAATTAATATTTTGGAAGGCTAACCCTAGAATACATTTAGCCCTATGACTAGAGATGGCCTTAGGTTGAAGTAACCCACTCCACCGTACAAATCCAGCCGGGGCAGATGATGGGCTCCACGAAGACAGCCCGAGTTGTTTCCTGAGGCCGCTGACGTACAAATTTTTATAATTAAAAAAAATCTGAAAAATTACCAAAAAAATTCATAATCTTTTTTTATACATACATAGAATTTTTATTTATTTATTATTGATCTCATACATAAAAATAAAATTAAACCCGTGTGAATAGTAATTGCCATTGGGTTGCCATGACAATACGTGAAAAAGCAAAAAAAAAAAATTTGCTAGGCATGACACCATGAGTGAAAGTGTTCTTAAAGCCCTACTTCCAATCCAGAGAGTTCCTAATTCAAGGTTCAGTGCTTTCCATGAAGATTAATTAATTAATTAATTTCCTTTCATTATTAATATGTGCATCCTCATGCCCTCTAGTTTGTCCATCTCTATCTTTGCCCTTGATCCAATAAAGAAAAAAAATAGTAGTATTTTCCCTTGATGCCCTAAATCAAGTAGTCTTGATTCTTGATTATGCTGAAAAAATATACAGAGTTCTTAATTTCCTTGCAGTTTGTTTAGGAATGCTCCCTCTACAATCACAAAATCAAAATGGATGTTTTGAAATAACGGTGTGCTGGGGGGGCATTATTTTAAGTTTTGAGGAGAGATTAAGTAGAATTACCGGAAAACCCTCGAAATTTCAGAGTTCAATGCCGTTAATGAATCTCGGTGGTAGATGGGCTGTATGGTGTGGTGGTGGGCTAGTCCTTGTTTAACCTTTGATGCACTCTAAAGGCCATTTCCAGAAGAAATCTAGGAGAGAAGATTTATGTGTTTTTATTTTTGGGAGATTTTCGAATAAGTATTTTATGTTAATGATTAGTTACAAAATTTTGGTCGTTGGATCGCATTCATTAAATGTGTTAGTAGTATCTTAGATGCAATCAAACTGTCGATATTAGAAGTATGTAACCAATCTTTCACATAAAATACTTATTCGAGAATACCCCTTACTTTTAAATGATAAATATTAAACACAACAAGACATGAAATTCTATTTCTTTTTCTTCTTCTTTTTCTTCTTTCCTTGAAGCATGATATACAAGGGTCAATGCACATCATTTTTGTTTTGGTTGGTAGGTCAAAGTACTTATTTGTGATGATCTTTTTAGGGAAGACTTAAATAATCCAGTCTGCTAGATGGGGAAGTTCTACAATATTCATGCATGCGTGAAAAGTGTAGTAGCAAGTCTTTATTCTCACTCATGTATGACCCAAAACAATGTTATGAATTAAATCCAGCACTCTTGTGCTTTGCATTACACGCTCTGTATTCATACATATAGGTCTTTGCACGACCTTGGTAGAGGCATGAAACATTTCTAAATTTTGTTCACAAGAAGATGATGTGACAAGTGAGACTTACAAAATCAAATAATGTTCAAATTAATTTTTTTTATTTTTTGAGAACAAGCAGAAATTCATTATAACATGAGCAAGTACACGAGATTGAGATTAACAGTAATAATACGCCCTAAATGGAGGTTCATGCATACAATAATTTGAAAAATTAAATCCATCAAGACAGTGAGAAAAAAAAAATACAAAATCAAGTCTAGCTCACTAAGAGTTGAAAGTACGAGGATCCAAAAGGCTCATTGCAGCACCGATGCTCCATAGAGATCATGAAAGACCAACACATTCTACACTAACAGGGAACAGAACCACCCAAAATGAAAAGGTCTTACTGCCCATCATTCATCCGGCCAAAGAAGACCACAACACCTCCAGAAACCCACATAATCTCACAACACCCAAAAATAGCAGATCCACCATGGCTAACAACTCCACCTCCAAAAAGAAACATAGCTCTAAGATATCCAATACCTACTTCAACCCAAATCACAAAAGACTAAGACGTCATAGAGGAAACGTCGTGGCCTCTACGTACGTTTTTCAAAATTAAAATATCTCAAATCTAACAGTAATGTTGGTTAAAGTAAAATAATAGGAATGTCATATATTTTTATTAAAATAATTTTTTATAATTTTTTGTCTGAAAAATGGAGCGGGGCTCCCACGCGCAAGTTGAGCCAAAAAAGAATAAAAAGTACAGAGACCCCACTTGACCTTTTTACCATTGTAATTTGGAGTAGGTGGAAAAATTAGCCTCTCTGCCCCCTCGCTGTCTCTCTTTCTCTTGCCTGTTTTGCTTGCTGTCTTCTCTCTCTTTCTTTTTCTCTCTCGTCTGTTTAGCATGGCTCATAGTCACTGCACACACAACCTTTTCATAGATTCGCACTTCCCCAGATCCAAATTATATCAATGTATCCTCATTTTGCGTGGGTTGGGTTCACTATTCTGCTCCAGTGAGTTGAAACTTGAAAGCGAAGGATTTTTCTAGATTAATTAATTATTCTAGACCATGGAAAGTCAAAAGGAAAAAAGAATATATTTTCCAAAACATAATATATAATCATTAATAAAATTACGAATTGTACAGAACATGGGTACCGAACCACCAAATTGCCTTCCTATACTAAGAAAAACTTGCATTGTTTTTTTTTTTTTTGGTTTGAACCACGAGGTGGTCCTGGATGGGCCCCAACTATGGGTGGCACCTTTAAGTCTTAACCACAATCCAGACTAATCCCCGCTCACACCGGGTCGGCCCGTAAGGGGTAAAGTGCTGGCCAAAGTGGTGACTCCATACGAGAGCAAAACTTGCATTGTTTTCATTCTATCTTATTCTCTTTTTTCATGTCACTTATCAAAGAAAAAAAAAGAAATTAAAAAAAAAAGAGGACAATACGACGAGAGTAGAGAAGTTTTTCACCTATATTAAGGTGCAGCGCATGCAGGGTTAATTTATTTTGAATCTCAAGAGTAATTCATAAAAGTTACACATTTTTCAAGCATTGGATCTAATGACATCCAAGGGCCCTAAAATGATGTGGCAATTATATGGAATTTTTTTTTTCAATTACAAGTCTTTCTACTATCCTTATGTTTATAGTTCATTGATTTATCATGTTTGGTAAGTCTAGACATAGAAAATGATTTTCTGGCATATCGAAAAAAGATAGGGAAAAATGAAACCCTCCATGCATTTTGGTTTTCATTTTCTCTTCCTGTGGGAAATAAGATTATATGCATGTTTTTCATGACCAAATTGTACTCATGAACAATTTAGCATTAAATGCATTCCTTTTTTATTTTATTTATTTCATATTTCTAATAGAGGTATAATTGAAAAACTAAACAAAGTTTGGGTCGCTGCGTTATTATAATAATTTTTTGTGACTAATTTGTATTGGACTTTTGTGACTAGTGGCTTTTTTTTTGGAATTATGAATGCAATCCTAGAATTTCTTAACAAATAAAAACCAAAGTATATATTTATATTCATAGACAAACCAAACGTGGAAAAGGAAATAAAGTTGTATTTTCTGAATACTTTCATAGTATTACCAAACATGCGAAAAGAATTTTCAATTTCTCATCCACTGGAACAAAAAAGACAGAAACTGATTTTCCATCAAATCCTTAGCACGAACCAAATGGGTCCTAAAATCAAAATACAAAAAATCATGCACACGTAAACAAATATCAACTATTAATGCATGTGAGATTCATTTGCCACTATAATTCATGATTATAATGTTGCACCTAATCTCAATGCTCATTTCGTAGGTCTACAACACCTCATTTTTTTGTTTATCTAGATAGTAGGTCCCAAATCCTTATCCCAATCTAAATCAAGTAGTGTGTTACACGAAACTAGTGAAAGATCCCACACCAAAAAAAATCACAAGAACAAGATAAATTTCTAGTAATAATAGTAGCTATTTCCAGAAGAATTGTTAACAAACTTGGCGTTCTATAAAAATGGAACACAGACAAAAGGGTAAACAAGCAAGAATGGCATGGCAAATACATTATTGTTTGTTTGCCATGATAAACAAGCAAGAATTGCATTCTTCTTCACTTTTCAATCTGACTTTGCCCTCTTGCCCAACCTGCATTTACTGCACATGCAAACAGATTTAACTCAGATTCATAGGAAAAAGAAAAAGAAATAAACTTATTGACTGTAGCAAAGAATCCCATGTTTGAAACCAGAAAGGTTACAGAGAGTAAAACTGAACCTGTAGGTTGAAAAACTTGAATTTAAAACCTTGGTCTTTAACTATGGTCATTGTATTTAACCAACCCATTTTCAAGTTTCAATATTTTCAACCTACTGTTGAAAAAAAACCGAGAGTGCTATAATTTCCAGTTTCCAGATGGTCTACCACCTCCCTCTCACTCCTCTAAGCCACCGACTCGTGTCGGTGCCTCTCTTTCCCACAAACCCCAGTTGGAAATTGTAACTTTTCTCTCTGTCCAACAAAAAAAAAAATTGTAACTTATCTCTCATGTCTCTATCTTTCCACAGTATTTACTGCTCATTGAGTCATCTCACATCCTATCTTTCAGAAAACCCCACATCCTATTTTTAATTACATGTATGTATGTGGATGGATGATGCCAATCACCAAACACCAATATCATTTAACTCTATCATTAAACACCCATTTTGACAGTTTTCAGTGTCCAATTTTCATTTATTCATTTTCTAAGTTGGAGTTTTCAATTTTAAATTTCTCCTAATCTAAGTTGGAGAGAGAGAGAGAGAGAGAGAGATAGAGTTGAGGCGTGTATCCATCAAATGGGTTCAAATTAATTTAACCTTTTTCATACCTCATTCATACGTATTTGTTGCTTTTTCACTCTTTGTTTTTGTTTTTACCTTTGTTGTTCTGGATTCTGCTTGCTGGTGGCAGCAGATGGGTTTCATTTTGTAGCTTTCCTCTCCTCTCTCTCTCTCTCTCTCTCTCTCTTTCTTTTGCCCTGCGTCTCTGGCGGATAACCCGGTGAGTAGTTGCATGATCTAAATCCTGAAAACTAACAAAGCCCACTTCTTTAGGGCGTATAATCAGTGTATGTTTTTACGTTTTAACATATATTTTGTCTAAATTCTTCTTCAAAAAGGAAAAATATTTGTGCAGAAGATAAAAGCTGCAATCTTTTTCCACTATGGTGGACTTGTTTGCAAAGCAGGGGATTTCACACTGCATCTGCAACTGAAAGATGTGGTTTTGTTTGTATAAGCCCGAGTTCAGTGTTGGTCTTTTTGCTTCCGGGGGTTTCCAAATGATTAAAAATGAGTTTTCGAAGCCTAAATCTTTATCTCATTTATTCAGTTACCTAGTGGTGTTTTGGCTCTCCTCTAGATCTGTGAGGAGGTCGTCATGCACTTAATGAAACAACCCTTTGATACACATGCAGTGATTTGGACTCTGTTCATCTTATGCCTTCCTCCTCCTGGGTTTTGAATTCTTTCATTAGTTGGCCACTGCTTTTAGCTCTCATTTGGACTGAAATCTCTTTTGTTTCACCCATGTTATGTTTTTATTGGTCACATCTGGGTGTTGCTGGATCTACCACAAGAGTTTTAATTTCTTTTTGGTCTTCTTTTGCAGATATTAATTCTTTGAACTTTCTTCTCTCTCTCCCAAATTATTTTCCTTGCCTGTTAATTTTTCTGATTATCTTCTCCGACAACTGAATGTTTTATGTTTGTCCTTTTTCTGCCTTATCTTTTTGTTTTTTTTTAATTACTCTTCTGAATTTTCTTGTTTTTATTGGCATAGAAGGGCATTTTGTTTTCCAGCAGTTGTTAATGTTACATGATTAGTGGAAAATATGATGGATTCACTTCTGCTCACGCATTGTATATGAATCTTTATTTCTTTTGGTACCTGCTACAGTGGTTCTCATGAATTTCAGACAAATTCATTCTTTTTACATGAGATTTATCTAAAATGTCATATTTTCTTTCCCATTTTTAATGCTAAGTGTTTGCTCTGAAAACTGATTTTCCACTTGTGGGTTTTCCCATTTTCTGCAGGCAGACTAGATGGAAGTGGGAACTGATTTTCGGCATTGGGACGAATTAATACCAGATGCTTTGGGTCTGATTTTCAGCAACCTTACTCTCCAGGATCTACTAACAGTGATCCCAAGGGTTTGCCAATCCTGGAGCAAGGTAGTGATGGGGCCTTACTGTTGGCAAGAGATAGACATTGAGGAATGGAGTAATAGATGCCGGCCTCAGCACCTTGATCGTATGCTTCAAATGCTGATTACAAGAAGTTGTGGATCGCTCCGAAAGCTCTGTGTTTCTGGCCTCCAAAATGACATGATCTTCTCCTACATCACTGAACAGTAAGCAGAATTCTTTAAATTTTGTTCTAACCACGCTCCCATGTGAATAATGCTCTATGTTTTTGCTCCCATAAATGACCTTTTTATTTTTATTTTTTGAAAACCCATTAGACTGCATAGCATTTAGTATAAGGTGAATCCTCTGGCTCAATCGTGATGATATTCTTATATACTTGTAGAATCAGTAGTTCAGGCCATATATTCAATGTCTTTTGTTAATTAAGTTTTTTGTTTCTTTTTGTTTGGGGAAGAGTGGTTTATGATAAATTGGTCCTTTTTGATTTGAGTCCTGTTTTCTTGGTTTTGCAAGTGCTGGTTCTCTTCAGACCTTGAGACTGCCAAGAAGTGAAATAGGTGATTCAATAGTAGAACAGACAGCTGGAAGGCTTTCTACTATCACTTTCTTGGATCTTAGCTACTGTGGCAAAATTGGTTCTCGGGCTTTAGAGGCAATCGGAAAGAACTGTAAATTGCTCGTGGGGTTGTGCCGGAACATGCACCCATTGGATACAGCGGGCAAGCCCTTGATGGATGAGGAGGCTCATGCCATTGCCACCACAATGCCTAGGCTGAAGCACCTTGAGATGGCATACCATCTTATCAGCACAAAAAGCGCTCTTCAAATACTCTCAAGCTGCACCGAGCTCGAGTTTTTGGATTTGAGAGGGTGTTGGGATGTTCAACTTGAGGACAAGTTCCTCAAGGAAAAGTACCCAAAATTGAAGGTTTTAGGGCCTCTTATTCTGGACTACTATGAGAGGAATGAGTGGGAAGATTGCTCCGATTTCTCGGATGCTTCTGAGTATTTGGCCTGGGAATTTGTGGCTGGTGAATTGGAGGATTACTATGATGATGATGATGATGATGTGAGTTATGATGGGATGTGGGATGATGAGGGAAGGCTGGAGGAGCTTGAGCTGAGGTTCTATGAAGGAATTGATCAGAATGGGGATGCAGTGTATGGAGGGCATGGTTGGCCTCCATCTCCTTAATAAAGTTGTGTTTTTTTCAAAATTTTCAAACTGTTTGCTTTCTCTGTTTTCTAGCATTTCCTTGATGCTTCTGTGTTGAACTTACTATATCTTTTTATGGATATATATATAATCTGTTAATGGAAAATGAAAAAGCATGGTTTGTTTAGTCTCATTTTCAGCCGTTGTATGATGAGTGATGACTTTGTATTTTCCAATAATTGCATACATGGAAAGCAAGGACTGGTTAAGTTGAAAAGGAAAGCAGAAAAAGTAGATTTTCTTTCTTTCTTTTTCACCTAAGCAGAACGGTGGATTTACTGACTGGCTAGCATTTTCCTAGTTGGAATTTACTGTTCTGACTCCTGACTGAGATTGCTGGACATGAAGCATCAAAACCTATTTTTGGATCGAAGTTGCTCCATACGAATTTCAAATGAAAATCTCTCTCCCTCACTCATTGTTGTAGGGCCAAGGACCCCATGAGGGCTATTGAGGTGTATGGCAAGCATGGACAGAGACTAATCCACCTTACTATTTCAAATACTAAACATGATTAGGATATTTTAAAGAACAATAACTAATGATTTGTATAGAATAATATCTAATGTTGATAAGTATCTTATCATTATTCTTCTGAAAAGTTGTTGGTAAAGCTATTTGTGGGGGGGGACAAGAACCAAAACCCCCCCTTCAAAAAGAGCTAAAAACGAACAAAAGGTAAGAAATAATGCAAACCATCATAGGACAAAACGAAACCAAAAACTAGCAAAAGCGATAAGTCTTAAGCTGAGACAAGTTTAGGCCACCAAACCAAACAAAGGGGAACCATAATGATCAACGCCAAAAGAGATCGAGTTCTTGACCTATCCTAATCGTAATGTAATTTTTTCCTTTTTTCACCCCTTGGTCGAACTTCAAGAGTTAATTTTTTTTTTTTCTACCAACATTTCGTCAACACTTGGTTAACAGAGATGAGGCAATATCATTATTCTTTTTGCTCAAAACAAAAGTTAGTCTTACCCACTATTATAATAAAATCGTGAGGAATCCTATACATTGTGGAAGAGTTGTTGAGCCTAGGTTAGATTATTTACGGAGCTTTTGCACCAAAAGAAAGGAAAGTGATGGTGACACTAGTGATGATGATTGAAGAGGACTTTGAGCTCATCGTGGTAGCCATTTTTTCAATATCAATTTCATGTAAATAAGTAAATATTAAAACAATTAAATTGCAACACATTCATGCGAGTATATTTATGTTAAATTATACCATGAATCATTTTACTATTAAAATACCAGACGAATGGTTCAGATAGTCATTGAGGTCACGTGACATAGACATACTTGGAAAAGCAACATATAGCTCTATCAATAGCTCCTATGAAAATTTGAAATTTCCAAAAAGTTCGTGGACTTTTGGAGTCGGTTTCTTGGCTTAGAGATTAGTCATTAGAGACAGATGGCTACTCCTGGGGACGTCCTTTAGTTGTGTGGTGTGGGTAACCGACCAGCCGAGGACACAAGTCGTCTCAAATAATTTCCATGGCCTTGGAGGCTGGTGAGAGAACTGAGCACATGCCTAAATTTATTAGGCAATTTTTCATTTTTTTATTTTGGATAAAAAGACGATAAATTTTATTAGATTAATAAATAAATAAATAAGAATATAAAGAAGACATACGGTAAATGGAGCTCTCTCAATCGCAATATGAGAGAGATGAATTTTTTTTAAGTACACAATTGAAGTGAAAAAGACATTGTAAAACCTTTGAAATTCGGAGTTCGTCCTTCTTTTTTGTGTCAATTATCTTGCCAAATAAATGACTTAATTAATTTGACCTAGGAGATATTCTTCTTGTGAAATTACCTATAGGATGACTAAAAATGGCTAGAGGGAGGTGAATAGGCCAATTTAATATTATAATTAATAAATAAAAATAAACTTCGATAGAAAGATTGATATGGCTTATCACTCATGAAACATGCAGATCATAAAGTAAAAGAACACGCATAAAATTATTTTACATTGTAAAACCCCATCTCAGGGGAAAATCTAAGAGACTCCTTAGTCCAAAACAAATCCACTATATAACCTTAAGAAGTACTCACACACTTATCCTAAACACAATCTACATAATGTTTACCGACTTCTTCGTAACCCAAGTTATTTCATGGGATGATTTTTCGACACTCCTTATGTTGAACGCAATACTGGTCACGATTGCTTTTCAAACTCGCTAGATACAAACTGCCAAAACGGTTTTGGTGCCCTCAATCGTATGAGTCACAGAACATGTAAATGAACGCAATATGAATGATGAAAGTATTTGATAAATTACCAAGTTAACATGGAACACTTGATGACTTATCTCAATTATATGCACAACAGTTTTTCTTGAGAAATTTAGATGATCAATCAAAACATATGAAAGCTGTGTAAAAAAATCAAGAAGTCACGCCATGTCATTATACATGCATATTCTCCTTTTACCAAGGGAATTGCTTAAAGCCAAGAGATCAAATATTGCCTAAATATATTTGATTCTTTTAAACAATCACGCCAGCTTACGCATGCTTTTCAATAACTTCCAATCCCATCAATTTATATAAGGAAACAATATAAACCAAGATGAAAACAATGAAACCAAATAGGACGTGCTCTCCAAGCTAAAGATGAAAGATGATATTTTAACTTTAAACCAAAATAAGGTCCAAATAGGAAACTAATCTTAAGAGATAAAATCTAATCCTATTAAAAAGAGGACTAATATAAAAGCATTTGAGTGAAAATAACTCCAGCTAGGATAAGTGTGTGAAATTTCATATCATAGAAATTTCTTAAAGGTAGAAGATCTTGATAGATTAAGAAATTTCATATGATTTTGTAAAAAAAAATATTGTTCGGACTATTAATTCACCTAAAGGTAGAAATTAGAATAGAGCTACAGTTGGTTCTAGTCTAGGAGGGTAAAAGTGGGTGAGTGAAGATTAAGGGTTTGCTAATTACTATTTGCCCTTAATTTTTAAATTTAATATTAAAATTATTTTATCTAGACTAGGGACATAATTCACATTTATACTCAAACCTACAAAGAAAGTTCTCTTAAAACATGGCATATATGCCAATAAGTACTTAGTCTAATAGTACATTTGTTCTCAATGTTAAAATATGCATCTCAAATTCGAATCCCTTCTCCTCTCGGATCAAAAGAAATGACATAGATACATATGTAATGTATATATTTCTATGATTTTTGAATGGTAAAGTTTTTGAAAATGTGTTGAAATATTCATTTTTTAGGTCATTTTCTTAAATCATCCCTACGAATGATCAACAAATTTAATGAATGACATAGTTTATCTTTAAGGTCATTTTAATGTTTGCCAAAAAAATTTAGTTTGTTTTTGTGATTCATGATTTTACTCGATTATTTGTAAGGATAATACAACACCCACGAAGAAAATAATATGAGTTGAGTAACATGAGTAGAGGTCATAAATATGAACATCCACCTATACCCACACATAGATATATTTTCACAGAGCGGTGGAATAAAAAATATAAACATACATCTGAGTTAAAAAAACAAATTAGAAACTCACTAATAGGAATTGCTGGCTTTGTAATTTCCGCTAGCTCACGAGCTCAGACCTCAGAGGAGATGAGGATCACAAGAGCCGACATAAAGTCAAGAAGAAGAAAAGTCTTGGAGGATGATGCCATGTTTTTCTTAACAACGCAATTAAGGTGAAGACAAGATTGTTACGGACTCAAGTCCCATAATTAAAATCACTTAATTAATTAATAGAAAGAAACAGACGCGCCGCATGTTACTGTGAGACATTAATTAATGAATCTTATGCATATTATGAAGTTTTAGAATTATTTTTTTAAGAGAGTCATGTCGGTTAACAGTTAGTTTTTGTCGTTGATGTCATTGGACTCGATTTCAAGAAATTATGGCAGTTGAAAGAGGTTTTAAAAAAGTTATTTTCAAGTCACTAGAGAATTTACCCAGGGTTGTCATATTGTTATTAGGATGGTTACTTTTACCTTTGTATTCTTTATTTTATTGATCTAATAAAATTATATTGACTTTTATAAAATAAAAAATATATATTAAAACAATCTTTTTTAAGACATGGTATTTAATGAGTAAGTCATGATCATACAATTTTTCCAGTTGCCAAAACCCAAAAAAAATAAAATAATTAAATAATTAAAGTTTAGGCACCTTTATAAGCTTGCTACATGTTTTAATTTAGGGAGTTGATTTTCCCACTCCTCTTTTGTCTACTTATGCTTCATCTTTTATTATAGTAAAAAATATTTTAAAAAAAACAAAAGGGAGTGTAAATGGACAAAAGGGGAGTGGGAAAATCAACATCCTTAATTTGTACTAAGGTCATGAGGCATTGAATTGAGGTGGAGTTGGAATCCGAATTCCTATTAAAGGTGGTTACTAAACTATGTGGAATCGGGATGGGAATGGTATTGACTCCTTATAAGTTAGTTACTAAGGGAATCTGGAATTGGGATAAACATGAATTAGAGTATCTAGGAATTGGATTAACTTGGAATCAGAGTCAAACATTCCAATTAAGTTGTTTACTAACTATTAGGAATCAGAATGAAAACAAAACGAATTTTGATTAAAATTGTTCACTATTGTTAAGAATTGGAATGAAAACCAATTTGATTACCAATACCACCTCTCCTATTCCGGAATGTCATTGCCCCTATATCAGGAATCAAAGTCATGATTACATGTGAGCTTCGCATCACTTTTCATTCCCAACATGCAAGTAAACAAATGAGTGGTCATGAATGGAAATGACTCTCGTTCATCTCATTCCCTTTCTAGGTGAGTGAACATGCCCTAAATTCTCATGAATCGGAATTATAGCTAGTTTGATTACTAAATTGCACTTGTTCTAAATAAATTATTCGGTTAAAATGGATGAAAATTTTGAAATTTTAAAATGTATGTGAGGATATAAGAATTAGTTGTATTCTGATTACCTTTTACCCTTTAGCTCGCATAAAAGAAATAAAAGAGTAAGTTGGACTTTCGCTATTAACTATTATACACGAGAGAGAGAGAGAGAGAGAGAGAGAGAGAGAGAGCAATTACTAGATCTGAGTAGAGATTGTTATAGGTGTATGATAGT